ATATATTCTTACTAATTCTTTCCCACACCGAAATCCCATAACATAATATGCCTTATGCTAAGGCGAAAAAAATGATTGTAGAGTACATAAAGGTAAAATGTTTCTAAGAATTCGAAATTTGTAATAAAAAACTTCTTTGATTCTCTTTATCATTGTTTCGATTTGAAAATTCAAGTTTAAGCATTGGCCCAGTAATGCTTCTAAATATTTTACTTACAAAATTAATATGTTTGCTGGAAAAATTTAAATTCTTTCTGCACGAATAAAAATAATTTTCTTTGTTGAAATTTAGTGTGCTTACTAATAAAAAGGATCTAACGTTAGTTTTTCCTAAATTTAAAAGCTGAGAATTTTGATCAACCCAATCATTTATATACAAAACTTCTTTCTTTATGAGAGAAATTTTATTTAAATTTTTTGCTGAATAATTAATAGTAGTGTCATCTATGTAACTGAATATTTTCCAAAAAATGTTCAATTTTCGTAACTCGTTAATGTAAACAAGAAAAAAGGTAGGACCTAAACCTATCCAGTGATACTTTGCTAATTGATAATCGTGTACTACAGCAAGACCCAATTTTAGTTTTCACAGCTCTATCAGAAAGATACAATTTAGAAAGTTAAGGTCAATAAATGCCAATTTTAGTTAACTTTTGAATTAGTTTATTCAGAAATCGTGAGATGCGGTCTGGTGGGATGTAGGTTTCAGAAAAATATTTTCTTTATCGTGCCAATGTTTCGATCCTTATTTGGATCATCTTCAGGGCTTGGGATTTACATACATTGTTTAAATTTAACAAATACTGTGGAAATGTGGAAAAACAAATGTGGAAAAAAAGTGAATTTATACAATGCAAAATATATTTTTTATATTCATTCAAAGTATTTCTACTCACTAAATACTAAAGTACTCTAAATACTTTGAATGAATATAAAAAATATATTTTGCATTGTATAAATTCACTTTTTTCACATCCTACATGTATTTGTTAAATTTAAACAATGTTTGTAAATCCCAGGCCCTGAAGATGATCTCAATAAAGATCGAAACGTTGACACTATAAAGAAAACGTTTTAGGTCACTAATCACCTCACATTTTTTAATTTGTATTGTAAGGTCAACAGGTAGGTGCAGGTTCCTGCAACTATGAGAAGAAAAACCACAAGCAAGTCCTACACTAAGGAGACGCTTGCAAAGCGGTGGAGGCTGATTAATAAATAACCTGAAGCTGGCCAGTGATAAATAAACAGGGGAGCACAATAGATCTATTCAGGTCGAGGTGCAGTAGGCCTTGTGGCCGCCTATCTTATCCATATTCTTATCCCTAAGGTCAATAGAGCCAAATCCTTTCTTAATGTCAAAAAACAAATGCCTACTTTTTTTATTAACATCCAATTGAGCAGTCAGATTAGTAACTTCAAATATAGCTTGTTCTGCTGATTTACTGCTAAGAAAACAAAACTGATTATGAGAAATTATATATTTTTGCAAAGATTATTAAATAAACGATTTTCGATACATTTTTTCAGGATTTTTGCTAAGGGTAGTGATAAAGAAATTTGTCGATAGTTATTGATATCTAATTTCATCAACTTGGAAGTAATGGTAAAACAAGTGTTCTTTTAAAATACATAAATTGAAATAATCAATTGCAATTAGAGACAATTGATTACATGTTTATAAATTCATTATAGAAAGTCTTTTGATGGTACCTTTTACGAAATAGGCTACAGATAAGTTAACTAGTTTTATCCTATTCCGTGGAACATCCCGAGATCCTGGCCTTGAAGTGCATTATTTATGATGCACCATATTCGTTTAAATCGGTTAAAAATAATATTACAAATAACAGATACAAATTTTTCATGAATAAGAAGAAATGGTATAAAATATTTAATTAATTCTTAAATCTTTCTTAAATCACACTTAGTTTAGATTAGGTTATATAGGATTCGGCCTCTTTACGACCTGTGTACCGCGGCCTATTGTGCTCGAGAGCTTCTCGTTAAGCTTGAGGCTTTTTACCAGGTACCAAAACTCTTTCAAGGCCTTCCGTGCGTATCCTTCAAGCCCTGGCTTTTCCTTTTTCCTATGATTAGGAATCTCAGCCTACATAGGCGTTCGCACTAACAGATTACGTGTTCCGAGTTTCTTCTTCTCCTTGGCAATATCTGTGCAGGCTTTTTTCTGCCACTCCGAGGCAGTGCCCAGTTAGCAGTACAACTATAATTCTAGTCCTAGCACATCGTACATTTAGTAGTTCTAGTTAGCTTCTGCAATGGTCCTTTTATAAATTTTTTCACATGTCTCTGCTCTGGGATACATTTTCATTGTCTAATGGATCCGCGTTTTTGGCGGTTTGGTAAGCCACAAAATGAAAAGGGTTCAAAGCGAATAGGTGTCCTAATTGAACTTCTTCAACTTTCCTTGGCTAATTTATCGGCATGTTCGTTGCCTCTCTGACTGTATGTCTGTCACCGAGACAAGGGTAATTTTGTTATTTTCTCCAATATATTCTACATGCTCTAATGTAGTCCCAAAGACTCTTAGCATTACCTTCGATGCTGCAATTACCTTCAGTGCCGCTAGGCTATCCGAGTAAATGGCTATTCTTCTATTGACAATCCCCAGGATTTTTATCTCCCTGGCACAGTGTGCAGTTTCCGCTGGAAAACGGACGCATATTGTCTAAGGCATATATAATATCTGCCCTTGGTTTATCTAGGTGAATACCAGCCCCTGACCGATATTCGGTTTTGGAACCATCTGTAAACCAGTTATGGTCGGCAGTGACTGTATCCCTTTCTCCCAGTCTGCTCTACAAGGTAAATTGATTAGAAAATGTTGGACCATGGGATCTGTAGGCATCCCCAAAGTTCTGTCTAGGTGAACCTACTCTCGACGCTTTAATTGCCCTTTGGTATGTGAGTAAGCTATTAGAGCCTGTCCGTATGAATTGTGGCTCTGGCCTCACCTTGGATAAAGATGTGTTGTGGTGGTAGACTCAGAAGGACTTCGGAGGCTGGCGTGGGGCTTGTTCTCATTGCCTCAGTGACACTCAGACGCCAATCTCTGGACAGTACTGATGTACTACCAAATCTCACTTACAACACCGTCTGTTCACATTTACGCATTTATTAAATTTGTTGAATCTTGGTAAAGGAAGTGGATTTTAATCATTTATATTTTTATTCTATCCTAATTGAAATCTCTGTTTTATATTAGTATGTAAGTATTGGGTTTGCAGTAGTATAAAGTGTTTCCGCCTTTGAAATATATTTTGTTAACAAGCATTGATTCTACACTTTGAACTACTTTCATTTAGGTCTTTTTAATGAAATGGCAAACCCTCTTTGATCTCCTTGATTGTCTTTGATGTGTGTCTTTCTTTACCTCTTTGGAAAAAGAACTTTTGTTACTTTCTTTTGTTACTTGGAGAAAATTTTCTCCACGAATAGAACCAGTCGTCGCATGTTTTAAGCAGCAACTCAATGTTATTTTCTAAATTATTCCTTTGGACATAAGCGTCACAGAAATCTATGAGGGAATATTTTTGTATAGACGATAGAAATGATAAATTTTTATTTTTATGAATTTTTAGGTAATGGTAACGTTATTGTATATATAAAATATATATGTAAAATATACTGTGTATAAAATATATATACTGTTTTTTATACTGTGTACAAAAAAAATATATACTGTGTTTTATATTGTGTATAAAAAATATATATACTGGTCGCGGTCTACATGTCGTAAGGAGGCCGGTTGCTACATAATCTAGTATGTACATAGTTTTTACATTGCGCATTTCTTAAATTTGCTGAATGTTGGTAAAAGAAGTAGATTTTAATAATTTATATTTTTATACTATCCTAATTGAAATCACTGTTTTAATTTTAAATTAAAAATAAATGAATTTATACAATTCTTGTAGCATGGTATAAATTCATTTTTTTAATCTAAAATTTTCTAGCATTGTATATTGTTTTAAATCTAAAATTTTCAATGATTGTAAAAATTCAGTTTATTTTTTGTAATCTAAAATTTCTACCATTGTATAAATTCATTTTTTCACATCCAACATGTATTTGTAAAATTTAAACAATTTTTATAAATCCCAGGCACTGAAGATGATCTCAATAAAGATGGAAACGTTGGGACGATAAAGAAAATGTTTTTCTAAAACCTACGTCACACCAGACCGCAACTCACGATCTCCGAATAATCATTAACTGTCACTAAACACCACACATTAAGAAGTGTTAGTAGGTACCAAGATATTTAAGTAAAGTTACTAAATAAAAATAGAAAATAAGTTCAAACCCCAGATGACAAGCCTCTCTCCTGATTCTCCTTGAATGTTTCAGCATAAAGGATTTGTCCTTAACTGCAGCTTTGTGGTCGGCAATGACTAGTCTTTAATAATGGGGTAGTTTTAAAACTCTTTTTGAGCTAGCGAACTTGTCTTTATAAGGCAAGTTGCTATTATGAGATTTTAAACCGTCTCTGAAAAAGTCATCCGAAAGGTTCTTACTGCTCGCCGGGGTTCTGGATATTGACGAATGATTCTATGTTAAAAATGCCATTTGCAGTAAGTGAAGGTGGAATGAAGGAACAAACTTGGAATAGGAGCGGCAATACCCCCAGAGGAAATGAGTACCTCCACATATACACAGGTATTGGCAAGACAGATAGCCAAGTTGGAGGTTAGAAGAAGGATAAAAATGGCAGATTAATCTAGCAATAACCAAGCCGAGCTATTGGCCATCTTAACATCGATGACATGAATCATGTAAGAAGGTGCAGAATGGAAGGATCCCAACATAGCTATATTAAGACTCAGGTGACTTTGGATGTATTGAGGATTGCGCCTGGCAAGAGCCACCAATCCTATCAGATCATCTCGTATCCTGGAGAATTAGATCAATACACTTTGCTTATGAGAAACTAAACAAAAAATAAAAATTTACTTGTCTGGTTATATATATANCTCTTGGATCTCGACAACTGTTCGGTCGAATCTGGTACATCCAACGTTTTTCAGTTCGGTATGAACTGCCCTAAGTAACAAACAGGAGAGGAAAATATTATGAAGTCCCCAGGACTGTTTCTCTTGGATCTCGACAACTGTTCGGTCGAATCTGGTACATCCAACGTTTTTCAGTTCCGTATGAACTGACCGAAGTAACAAACAGGAGGAAAAAAATTTATGAAGTCCCCAGCACTTTTTCTCTTGGATCTCGTATTTTTCCCAGCAGTTTCTCTTGATCAATTTATTAATTTGTAGTTCACCTATTTATATACCTTCACCCTGAAAATTTTATTGTTGGTGGGACGTGTTTGGACGAACGAGGCATTAATGAGAGGACATTTTGGTTTTTAGAGGGTTGAAATGTTCCGACTGTTACTTCTTTTGATATAAGTGCGGCAATGTGGCATACTCCACGTCCGTGTAATTTCGTTACATGGTTGATGATATCAAAATTTTCCAATTATTTTCCCTACCCTGTGAATTCCTGGTTTCTATCGTGGTAAAAACATATTAAAGAAAAAAATGTTAGGAAACTGTAAAAATTAAAACAATTGGAATTGTTTGGATTATATTCCAAAAAGGATGGCTACGTAAGTTCAGGGAAATTTTGGAGCATCCCTACCCCTGTTAATACTGGTTAACATCTTCCATCTGGAAATTTGCCTTCATTTTACATTTTGCTCGCTACGGTAATGCCACGTACTTCTCGTTGTATCATGTTACCCCGGACATTGCGGATTATGAATATGCTCCGAGTTACTAAAGGTAAGTGTCCTTATTATTAATTATTTTAATTTAAATTCTATTGTCATATTCCTATTTACATTTCTATATGTCTGTCTCATCTTGTAATAGATCATACAGTGATTCGTTCGGCTTTGGTTTTTCATTATAATTATATACTTCCATTCATTATACTACATATTATTTCTAAATAATAGAAATAATGTTGCCTGAAAATAACAAAATCTGAAAATAATGTTTCTTGTCACAAATAAATGTATTTTCCGTTTTCGTTTTTAAGAATCGTTGACAGATGAAATAATTTATTATAATATATTTCGATAATTAAAGCGTACAAGCATTAATAATAAATTTATTATCGGAAATTCCATACTTTTCCCAATGTTCTGTTTGTCGGTAATCCACGTACGAAAGGCAAAACACGAACAATTTCCGTTTCCACTCATTGTATTGATTCTTTTGATTTACATTTAACTAAACCTTTTATTAGCTTATCCTTTTTAAATTTTTTCTTATGCAGAAGAAGATGAAAAGATTGAACAACCATTTGATGATGGTTCTGATCTGAAAACTAATATTGAGCCAATTCGGGATGTCGTCCACAGCAGTGATTATGCATCATCCTCTATTTCTGATAATGATGTAAGTAAATTTCTGAAAATATATCCGTGCAATAACTGAAAATTAAGTCTAAACTACTATTTTTACATGCAGGCTTTTCCAAAATCAGTATCAACAGTGCCTACAAAAATGACCAATATGCAACATATAATTCCCCACAAAACGCAAGAAGATAATATAGAAATGGATTCAACCACGCATTCCACAAAATCAAGGCGTGTAAGAGAAAAAGACTATTGTTATTACTGTGAAAATTTGGTGCAAAATTTTGCACGTCATATAATAAGGAATCACAAAACAGAGACCGAAGTGATCCAAATTCTTTCGTTTCCGCTAAACTCCAAGGAGCGAAAAGAACTGATCACCTCTATTCGTAAAAGAGGAAATTTTTACCAAGGCGGAGAAACAGCAAAACCTATGCGCAAAATTAATGCCAAAACTGAGTACTTGCCATGTACTGAATGCATGGGTATGTACTCGCGAAAATTTTTGTGGAGACATAAAAAAGTATGCTCGAAAAATTCCGGAAGCAGACAGTTGCAAAGTATGTCCCAAACGTTTTTAATCGCCTTACATGACATAGATAAAGACTTAATATATTCTGTTTTTCCAACGATGAGAGCTGATGAAATATCACTAGTAGCTAAAAAAGATTTTCTAATCTGTTTATACGGTGCCAGATACTTAAAAATACACAGAGAAAAACATTTTATAAATGTAGTTTCCAGAAAAATGAGGGAATTGGCCAGATTGTTGATAGAAATAAAAGACAGGGAACCTAATGTACGTAGTCTGTTTGACGTACTCCAACCTCAATACTATGATACAATTGTTGATTCGGTGAAACAAATATCATTATATAACAATGAGCGTAAAGTTTTTAAATCACCAACTTATGCTATGAACATAGCAGGAACTTTAAAACAGTGCTGTGACATAGCGATTCAGGAAGTTCTTAAAAACAAAGCCAAATTTTCGATTGAAAAAGAGAAAGAATTGGAGACACGCATGGCCACTTTGATTCGGCTGTTTAATAGCAATTGGAAATTTGACATCAGCCATAATGCTGCTAATACTCTTAATATTAATAAATGGAACAAAGTAACTATTGTTCCCCTAGCGAAGGACATTAAACAGATGAAAACATTTTTAACGACGAAAGCTAAAGACTCTGTGGGACGACTGATTAGTTCAAATGGCAACAGCAAAGCATACACCGATTTGTTACACACAATTTACTGCCGCATAATTCTTTTGAATAGAAGAAGACCTGGAGAACTACAAAGGGTGCCTTTACACATATATGAAACTTTTATTGAAGACACATCTTATGAGGAGTTTAATCAAGCCCTCACAACAACAGAAAAAATCCTCTTAAGTAAGTTCAAAAGAATTGTTGTACGAGGTAAACGTGGCCGTGGAGTTCCAGTATTATTTAGCCCAGAAATTCAAAATGATGTTAAGATACTTATGAAGTACAGAAATAAGTGTGTTCCAGAAGAAAATATTTATTTGTTTGGCCTACCAGGTTGTACTACTCCAATCGTGGGTTATAAAGTATTGAAAAAAATGGCTCACGAAGCGGGCGTATCAAACCCAGGAGCTATTTCGTCAACAAAACTGCGTAAACATCTTGCCACATTAACCCAACTTTTTGACTTAAAAGAAGCAGAAATAGAACAGTTGGCTTCATTTATGGGTCACACATTAGGTGTCCATAAAAATTCATACAGGCTTCCAGATGATGTTTACCAAACTGCAAAGATTTCTAAATTGTTATTACTAATGGAAAACGGGCAGACGGAAGCATTTAAAGGAAAGACACTTGAGCAAATAAATGTAAATCTTGAAGAAGAAATTATTGAAGGTGAAAGCGGTGACGAAAATGAAATGACACATTTTACAAATAGCTTTGAGGAGCGAGAAAATTTACTTCAAGAGAATGAACAAAGGAAAACACTCCCCGAGAAAACCGCAGAGATGAAGACGAAGAAGACTAGAGTTTTAATTCCGTGGACAACGGAACAAAAAAATATAGTTAAAAAGTTTTTCAAGGATCATATAAAACATAAAAAAGCTCCAAAAAAAATGGAGTGTCAAAAGTTAATTACACTTCATCCCATTTTGTCCAACAAAAATTGGCTAAAAATAAAAGTATTTGTACAAAATCAGTATACTAAAAAATAGTTCGTAACATGAATGTTGTATGTTGTAAAATAAATATGTTAAAAAATTACACTTTTTTTTTAAATTATGGCTTGCAAAACCTTATTGGCAAGTATTGTGGAATTTAACTAAATATGTGTATATTTTCTTTATCAAAAATTAACCGTATTAATTTTATACACACATTAGGTATTGTTTTACTTTTGTTTATTACTTGTATACTACTTATGTATATGTTGAACTTTATTTCATAGCTTTTGTGTAAACAAAAACGCTTGCCCAATTTTCGAACTATATTTGTTAAGATAAATGTTTTGACCATTTTATAATATAAATTACAATTTATATATTTCAAACCATATTTTGATATATATTGTAATTTGTTTAACTATAAATATACAAAAACGACAAAAAAAAAACAATGAACTGGCGTAAGTCTGGCCAGTTTATATATTTATTTATATAACAATTACGGATATAAAAATGATAAAGTAAACACACAGTATAGTCCAAGAGTCGGTTTGAAAATCAGAACTTTAGCTTATGTAATTATCCGTGCAAGTCATCTCGATCCGGACAAATTGTGTTTGATTGTGCTTAAGAGTCGGTTCGTCAAAGGCTGTTTTTCCGAAAGGCGGAAGTAGAGGGGGAAAAGTAGTCGGAACAAAGGGTGGCACATAGTGTTATGAAATTGTATAATAACTCGGACGCCACATGATCGATGGAATGAACTCAAAATAATTCTGTATATCGTGGAAGCCGCTAAGTCGTCAATAAAAAAGGACGTCAGATAGGAGCACATATGAAAGAAAAAGTGAAGGAAATATATATTTACAATAAGCAAGTATATTGATAAATAAACCCATCGCATACATCGTGGAGATGATATTAAGGATATTCACGAAAAAAATTTCCAAAAAGTTAAGCGGAACTGAGGGACGCCACAAGGATAGTAGCTTGAAAGGACGTCACAATGATAGCGAGATGTAAATATATATATATATATATATATATATATATATATATAATATTGGGTGGGAAGAGAAATGTATAGACAAGCTTTTACCCGCGACTTCGTCTTCGCGGGACTCTGTTTTAATGTGTCTTTCTAATGCGATTCAGAGTGTTAGTATGGGTTTATGTCTCTTTTTCAAATTAATCTATTCTTCAGTTCACTTCGGTCTATACATGGTAAAAAGTCGTCCATACGATTTCCTTAGCAGTAGAATTTCAAAAAATCCAAAGCCATGCTCTGTCGAAATTTCAGTCCTTTAGATCCAGCAGTTTGGTCTGTACGGTGTCTGGCAGCCAGTCGCGGAACTGTTTTATGTACATAGATAGTGCGGGAGTGAGAGGGTGAGCTAGCATGAAAGTTAAAAAAAAGCGAGAAAGACCAAGAAAGTGAGAGAATGGTTGGAAAAGTTTAACAACAAAAGAGAGAGAGAGAGAGAGAGAGAGAGAGAGAGAAGAGAGAAAGATAGAGATTTAAAAGAAAGTGAGGGTCAGAGAATGAGAATGAGAAGGGCTACAAACTAAGATGTAGAGATCAAGAGAGAACGAGAGAGTAAAGAAGAGAGCAAAAGGAATATATATACAGAGAGAGAGAGAGAGAGAGAGAGAGAGAGAGAGAGAGAGAGAGAGAGAGAGCGTTAGAAAACTATAAATTGTGTGAGAGAGTGAGAATTAAGTAACTTTACAAAATTGCTGGCTAATCTTAAATTTCTGCTTTTTATTGTTATAAACTAGTTCCAAAATAAGCATAAATAACATAAAAATAATACGTTTACTTCTATGTGTATACATTTTAGGAAAAATTTTAAGAAGCACTTATTTGATGTTTGTCCTCAACGGGAAAAGGGCAAGGGATTGAATGGTAAAAAAAGGGTCCAAGGTGAAAAAATCCTTGGAAAGGCTGTGATGGCCCGTGTCTTCACGGCCCAACAGCGCCCATGGTAATGAGGGGATGACAATGGGCAATCACCTCCTTCCACAAAGGACTTCTTCATCCGTCTACGTGCGTACCTAAACTCGAACAAACAGTATTTATTCAATACTCGCAGGACAGAGGATTTCATGCCCACGAAAACGCATAACGACCCGCTTCAATACGCATATGATCAAAAGGGTTTATCACAAAAGGCCATTTTCACATCGCTGTCAACCAGGCGGAATATAATTTGAGGATATTGTACTGAATTTTATTCAATTTCTATGTAATCTTTGTTTTTTAATTCAATCGTTCGTGCAGGGGCTTATTTAAAATTCTGATTTCAATACCTGTTCTTCAATAAATTTGTTGAAAGTATAGCTGGTTAAAACATTATCATCTTTAAAAAAACAATAAAAAATATAACCATTGCAAACAAAATTAAAATACACTTGATAGAAACGTATTTTTTTTGTTAAAAAAAGATCTAATGTCTTTTCAGTTATAAAATATGAATATCTGCAATGTAATCCATCATAAATTTTGTCTTTAAGAAAAATGGATTTAAAATAAAGTAAAATTGTAGGTATGTTTATAGTGGTGGATCAAAATCATGTCCTTTGTAACGTGTACAACAGAGGATATTTTTTAACATACAAAATATATGATCAAGCACTGTTCCAAACATTTACATGGGAGATTACTTACTTACAAGGTAGAATAGAATATTACAACTTGGCAATAAAATAAAACAAACAAAAATATAATATTTCGCAACGATAACCGGAATCTACTTGATAAAATTATTACAAAGTAATTTGCATGAAATTTTTCATGCATAAATATAATTCGTAATCTACAGGGTATCTTGTTAGATGTCCTGGCTGTATTTCCCTTGAACCAATGACGCTATCAAAAAAACAAAAAATACGCGTTTCATATTTTTAATCTAATCACCAGTACTAGTTCAACTTCGAAATTAGTAATGCGACTCTATACATTCTGACAAGCACTGAAAACAATGTTGCAAACGGATTTTAAATTGGCTCAAAAAATGACAAATTTATGGAAAAATGATTGGAAAAAAAATTGTCATTTAGTTTGGTATTTATTAATCACATCATTAATCATTTCATGTTCGAACTGCTTGCCTTGCCTAAAGATGCAAAGATTTGCCCTTTTTAACCACTTTTCACCGCTCTCAGAGCGATAGAGTCAGGGGGGATGGATTGACATGCATTTTCTATCCTTTGCCGAAGTTCTTCAACTGAGGTTGCTGGGTTATAATTGTCGTAGACACTGCTTTTTAAATTGCCTCACAGAATTTAGTAAGTGGAGTTAAATGACCGAGGAGACCAACAAATCGGGCCATGAGGCCTTTTCCACCTATCTCGGAAGTGACGATTTAAATAACCTCTCATCTGCAAAGAATTGTGTGCGGGGCATCCATCAAGCTAAAGCTTCTTCACCGTTCTTACAAAGGAACGTAATCTAATAGTGACTAAAACCTCCCTCAAAAATTTGAGGAAGTAAGCACCATTAAAACTATTTTCGTATAAATATAGCCAAATTAATTTATTTCCAAAAAATCCAGACCAAACGTTTATACTGTGGATCACCTTATCCACAAGAGTACGAATTTCTCGCATTTTCCTCTGCTCATTCGAAAATTCCAACGGTTTAGTATGCCATTAGAGGTAAACTTGGATTCATCAGTGATGTAAAGAAGAACGTTTTCTACATCTTCCCAAATCTTTTAAAATAATGCGTCAGGACGTATAGGGTCGTATTTGAAATTTTGATGATGAACTAGGCCTGAGGTCCCCTATATAATTTTTCACAAAAAATGGTAACATTTCGATTTTTTTATTTTATTTATTTATTTTTTATTTTTTTTATTTTTTTTGTTAGCCTAATTGGTTCAAGAGAAATTCAGCCGGGCCAACTGAAAAGGACACCATGTATATATACAAAAATTCATCCTGCATATGTTTGTCCTCTTAAAAATCGACAAGTCGATTGACTTGAAATTTGGACACAACGTTGCATTGGAATATGCGCCTGTTTTCAAAAATCAAATTCACTTCTTTCATTCTTTTTCAGTTGATCGTCGTCTGTGTTACAACAGTTGACATATTTTCAAGATAATTACTCGAGGTCGGTAACGGCACTGATTATTCCGGTAAATCCCCAAGCACCTTCCAATCTAATTTTTGTCGTGAATTGAAAAGAAGAATTGGAAGAAAACATTTTGGAAAGTATCTTAAGACAAATTATCTAAATCAAGCATAATAAACTGGAAGAACCATTCTAGCGGCTAAAAATGATGAATTGATGAGAACGACAATTGAAATTGTTATGTTTACTGAAGAGTCGCGTTTATGTCTGTGAGTACAAGTTTCTTCTATTTTCATTATACAGGTTATAGTTTTATTTCTAATATTAGTCCTGGGCGTTTATATTTTTATTTATTTTTCTTTGTTGTTGTACATATGATTTTCTCCCCATGAAATTTCAGGTGATTTAATTCTCACGAAAGCAACCACTGCGTAACTAACCTCTTCAATCTTCCGCGCATCTATGCTCAAAAGGGCGTATTAATCCTCTGAGAATATTCAGAGTATGTTGTCGAAACCCATCTTTTTAAATCGACATGCATATTCAAGTGAATATTAATAATTATCTCAGATTTCTAATTATGAAAACTTAAAGCTATCAATAGAACCCGTAAAAATATCAGTCGACACAGATTTACTATTTCTATAAACGTTGAAAAAAATTATTTTTCTTATAATATTCATCACTACTTACTACAAAGTATTGATTAAGAGTTGACATAGCTTTAAAACTTTTAGATATACGACATAAAAAATTGTCACTGTATCATTTTTAATATCACACAGCATTTCATATTTTATTTAACTTTTTTATTTTCACAAGAAAATAATTAATGACATAAAGTTGGATGAATATTATTTAATTAATTGTAGACTAAGCTTTTACATCAGAAATACCATCATCAGTGGAATTTTCTAGTAGTTGCATTCCACTTTATATGGACCTTCCCCTACTATAAAATGAGTGGTCTATTAGA